AGGGTTGTCGTGTTGGAAAGTTCAATTAATTGCATCATGTGCGTTTATAAAAGGTAACAAGTTGTCTGATAAAATTGTGGTGTACTCATCACTACCCATCTTTTTCAATGGAAAAGCCAATTGCATCATGCCATCAATGCAAAAGGCACCTCAAACTATGAGCACCCCAATTTGACTTCGACCGCAAAAATTTCTTTTTAAAAAGTATTGTGGTTCTTTTTGGAGATCTCGCCAATATGAATTATAGCCGTCCGGACCATCAAGATTAAACTTTTTTTCATCCGTAAATATAACGTGATAGAAGTAAATTGGTGTAAAAAGATTTTGACATCTAAGGTTAATTTACGCTTTTCCAGTCGCAATGCATATTCGCTCGAGTGTATTCAAGCCTCGCAACATTATGCCGTGGTAGAAGTTTTGGGGCAGATTTTAATTTCTACTTCTCCATGCTAGGATTACTTTTCAAAATTCGACGTACTGTCCACAGTGAAATATTTAAGTTGAGTTCCTTTTTAATTTGGTTACAGCTGTTTTGGATGTTACTAGCTGCTTTTATAATTGCTCGCTCGGTATAGGGACTCAATTTTTTCTTTGGACCATCCTTTTCATTATTGCCATAATTAGCGGAATTATTTAAGAAAATCAAAATGACTTTATGTAAGCTTCCTAGCCTACGGACAATTTCCCGAATATTAATTTTATCCTCCTTAAACGCCAAAATTTTACCCTTCTCTTCTTTGGTCAAATATCTACCACGTGGCATTGTTCAATAAATTTGAGTATTGTCAAATTTTTATTTGTATTTTAATAAGGATGTAATTATTTAGCTTCAGTGAGTTTGTAGGTGAACTGGATGGAGAGAAGTTAATTTAATCACATTGGTGCTATAGTTTCGCAACAAGCCAAAATCACATTTTCGATTATATCGTTTCTAATAGAAAAGCAACTTCAATGAGACTTAATATAAAATTTATTGCGATCCACACCATTTCGTCTCTTGCAATTGATTTTTTGCATTTTAACTCTGAATTACAGAACAACTAAAATAGTAGATGGTGCTATAGTTATGCACCGCAGTGTAGTAACAATAATGTAGGTCTATTTCACTAAGTAAGAAAAACGACAGTGACTTGGCAGGAAAGTCCAAACGACCCAGAAGATCGAAGGAAAATTAAAATATTTTCGATTTCGACTTTCCTGCTAAGTCCGATTTTCCTGCCAAGTCACTGTCGTTCTTCTTATTTAGTGAAATAGACCTATAGGGGAAACCACTTAAAAAAACGCATCAACAATAATATCTTCAGGGTTATGTGGAAAGCTATTGACAAAATTGTAATTATTATAACATGTACTATTGTTATTATATGTATATATGGAAGATGTTTATAGATGTAAACATAGTATTAATAACTTTAATAATCTGTAAAAATAGTAATGATTAACAGTGCAAGCAACATTTTTAATCACAGATGGATCCCGACAAATCTATCGTACGACGCCCCTGGCACACAGCGTCACGTAGGCAGTCTAGCGCGGGAGTGGGGGCACGGTAGGCGTCTACTCCAAAATCGGCCCGAAAAGTGCAACTAAATTCAAGCACTGCTATAAACCAATGATTTTGTAAAACTACACTCAATGGAGTTCCATATTTCTATAATTTTATTTTTCAGTATTTGCTTCGAGGTTATCTGAAATTTATTTAACACGTTAGCTACCGTGATGGTCACCGGTGACCGGCACTCGACTTGGCTACAGCGCCGTGGGGCCCACCGGTCACCGGCGACGCGACCAATAGTTAAAATACATAAATAGAGTAAATATTGATACTGATCAAATTTTTAATAATACCATTGTTACTATAATGGTCTGAAGACCCTA